AACCGGACCGGATTGACCCGGTTTTTTATAACCGGATTGGACATATGCTCAACCGAAGACGGGATTGGATTGGTACACGGTTTTGACCAAACCGGATTGGATGCAATACGGTTTGGTCCGGTTTTGACTGGAAAACCGTTTTCAACACAAAAATAAAAAATGGTCCCTGTTCGCCCCAAACGCAGCGTCTCATTATGATTAAAGGAAGAGGGAAAAAAAGTGACAGTCCCCATCTAACCTCTTCTCGATTGAAAAACACCATCCCCATCTTCCCTCTCTCTTCTGTCTTCTTTCCATCTTCCATCTTAATCTCTCACTATAGTCTAGACATAAATCATTCAAAATCCTTTCGATTTCTCCCTTTCCTCTTCATATCTACAAACCACGATTGGAGCCTTCGAGGCAAGCGGGTTCGGTGACGCCGGCAAAGCAGAGTCGGCGGAGTTCCAGATGTCAACGCCAGCACTCCCGACCCTCCCAAAACGTGGCCAAATCGGAGGCGACCTCGGATAGGAGAGCCAAGCAGAGAGAGCTGCAATTGACGAAGTTGATGAGGCGGCTAGTTTCCAGCCTCAAATCGGAGAGGCTGGAGCCGGGAGGTGAGATGGAGAGAGCTGCAATCGACGAAGTCGATAGGGCGAATGGTGGTAGAGAGGCGACGAGGTGAGCCAGGGACATCTGGCGATTGGCTCATCTTGCGATTGCAGTCGCGAGAAGGGTAGATCGAGCGAGAGATGGAGCATGCAAACTATGGAGAGGCATGAAACGAGAAGAAGATAGGGAAGCCGTCGTCGGTCGTCTCGCCGGCCAGAGGGTGAGTAGGCGGAGGGACAGCATAGAGAACGAGAAGAAGATTTGAGAAGAAGATTTGAGAAGGAGGAAGCGGCGCTGAGGCTCTCTAGGTAATAGATTTTTAGGGTTTTTTGGGCCTTGTGGGCTGTGGGCTTTTGGGCTGTGAGTTGTGAGTTGTTACCCGGTTTCCGGTTAAAACCGGACCAAATTGGACCGGGACCGGGCCAGTTTTTTACCCCTACCCTCTGACTGTAAACTGGATTGGGTTACATGCTTTCCGGTTTCCGGTCATAACCGGGTCGGTTTAAACTGGACGGTTTCCGGTTTGACCGGAAAACCGGGACCGGTTTTCCAGCCCTACCTCCCACTAGTTTAAGTTATTAAGAGAGACTCACAAATGAACTCCAAACTTTACCTACATAGTAAACACCAAAGTATTTATAAAAAGGGTATAATGAAGGAAGCCACAAATTTCTTAAAGTCCACAAATTTCTTAAATATCCATAACATAGGGATATTAAATTATTCCTCTTGTTTTTTTTTTTTTCTTAGTTTATCACACATGTGTGTTGTTAACATCCTGGTGGAGGGGAAAGGGAGGAGACAAGATGGGCAATGTTGATTTTCTAAGCAAAGCCCCCTCGTACCACATAACATAAACAAGGCAAAGAGGGAACATGTTTTCTTGTTTGGACCCTAGCTATATTACATAATTTATTTGTAATTTATAATAACTATAATACAGATAATAATGATATATACAGGTTGTTGGTGAGAGTTTGAACTGTTTAATGTTTTCTATGGAGGAGAAACTATTTGGACTTTTGTTTTAGTTTATTATGTGTGCTTTTTTTCTTTTAATAATGGCGAATTTTATTGAAAAATAGATTATTATGCATTAATAACTTAATATATGGTAACGATTGGTTCACTTCTGGAATATACAATACTCTAGAGGATCATCTCATACTGTGATCTGCTTCATTGTATTTCGGCAAATCAGTATTGAGTGTATTAAATTAAGCTTCACGTTTGAGTTTATATAATCAGATTATTGAGCTTAACTAATAGATGTTACGGTATAGTATCATACTTCAAACTCGATTGAATTCATGTTCTAGAGAGATGTCTAAATACCAATGACAGATCCAAAAATTCGAATGAGGAGGGCTAACTTGAAGTGTCATAATTGGGGGAGGGGGGCTAAAGTCTTACGTACCAACTATTTTAATTCCTAAATTTGTGCCAAAGTTACACATAATTTTTTTATATAAGTGTGATATAGGTTTACTTTATGGTAGTAAGTTACAACTTAAGGGATTCAAACCCAAGACCTCCAGGTTCAAAACTAGTGATATTGTCACTAGACCAAACCCTTATTCGTAAATCCCATATAATTTTACATATATTTCAAAATTTAGAGACTGCAACTCCCTGCTATATTCAACCCAACTCCACCACCACACTCACTTAGGGGTGTCCAAATGGTTACAATGGTTATAACCAAACCAAATAAGGCTAAATTTCATTAACCATGGAATACAATATCATTACCAAACAGTCCAAACTAATACAACAACCAAATTAACCAAATTAAAGTTTAATCAGTTTGGTTAATTGGTTAACCAGATTAACCAATATAAAATCACATTATCATTAAGTGAGAAAAATTCGGTTAATTTATCAAATCACAATTTATATAATGAATAAAACATAACAATCATCACATAGTTATAGTTGACCCTTAACATAAATACATGCAACTAAGACAATTATCTTACGCTTAGTATAGAAGTATTCACCTAACAAAAATTTATCACAATGGTATGGGTTAATGAATTTTTGTGTTTGTTTGAATTGACTTAGTCTTTTAGCAATTTTCATAGGCTGAAAATGACCTTGTTTTCAAGTTTTCAACCAACATAATGTATGAGATTTATCTAAATTAGGCGTTCATATGTTGTGGTCTACACTCTACATATACAAATATACATTATGGAACAATATCAAGCTTTATATTTTATGTCTAAAAGGGATGAACGTTTAACTCTTGAGTGGTTATTCAAAGTATAAGTATGTGTATATATTAGATATATGGCTAATTATTTATCTGGTTAATTTGGTTTGACTGGTTAGGAGTGTCTGAAACCAAACCAAACCACCTAAACCAAACAAGCTAAAAACTTTAACCAAACCAAACCAATTATCCAAATTAACCAAACCAAATTATCCAAATAGTACTGGTTAAAACGATTACCATGGTAACCACACCGTTTGAACACCCCTACACTCACTAGTCACTACAAATACTTTGGAGTAATGTATGCTCAAGGACTATAGTAGTCTGACCCGTATTAATTTATACTTAATATCTATGTCTTTGTCGCCACGTACAATGCGGCATTTTAGTAGACTGTTCGAGTTTTGCCTGGGTGCGCGATGATTTCTGTATGCGGGTTCAATGGGTGTCTTTAAAACAACTAATTTTAATTAATTAATTAACTAATTATCGGTTGGGGACAAAAGAGAAACAAAAGATCATATAAATAATCGTGTGTTTAGATTCTGTATGCTGTGACATGTACATGTAATATTTTATGCAGTCCAATTCGTGGAACATTTGTCTTGGGCTCCCGAGTCTTATACAATAACAATATAGATTAACAAACGTGATGTACACTATTTCCCTCCAAGTTCATGAACCGTATTGTTGTGTACATGTACATGTAGTTTTCATGCTCTTGTCCCCACTACCCACAAGATCGAAAACACTATCGATTGCGACCTATTTAATATTTCGAAATTACTGAATCGCTAATTTTATTGTCAATCACTTCTGCTACGGATCGGCATTCGTGATTTCCATAAGGTCATTTCGTTGTGAGAGGTCTAGTATATATCCGAGTCGGGTAAATGGTGTTTCTGGTCTTTTTATAATGACGTATTTGTTAGAAGCGGAGTCGTGTGGTACATATATGATGGGTAAGTACGATCAAAGGAATGAGCAGATGCAGTGTGAATCATGTGTGATGATGAAGACATATCGAGTTATGGACAAAGGAAGTGAACCGAATCAAACTAAGAAGTAGTATGAATGATTTCAAAGATATGGAAAATGTGCAGCTTATATATTGGTACTAATTTGGAGAGAAAATGGTTAATTAGTTTCATATCATATATCATATATGTAGAACTCAGTCAGGAAGCCCGCATTACATATCAGCTTCAAAGGGTTTATCTGTACGACAGTACTAGAACAGTACTCGATCACACCACGATGTGTAAGTTTGATATTCATCTCTGTAAACTTCCAATCAATACGTCTCTTCAACATCCATCAACAATCATTTACGAATTCAATTACAACTGACTACATAATATCTTGTACACACTCTAAAATCTAAATTCAAAGTCTATAATTAGACAAATTAAACCCTAGTGTTAATTAGGTGGTTAGCACGATGCCCATAGAAACATTAACAAAGACCGTAGTTCCTTCCAGTACCGTAGCTTCAGCAGTCTTCAACACGAGTGGGGCAGAATCGCCGGTAAAAGAAAGAAAAAAAAGCCATAATTCGGGCGGAGAAAAAAAAAAACAAAAAACAAAGACTCCTTCCTTCCTTCCTCTTCCTCCAAACCGCGGTTCCCTCTTCAATGGGGAAACCAGACCGAACCACCCCGCGGTTGCGCGGGCGAAAGAGAGAAAGAGAGAAAGAAGAAGATAGAGATAGAAAGAGAAACGGGTCGGGGAAAAGTGGAGCAATGATGCAGACACCCTATCTACTGTTGCCTCCACCTTGTCCCCTCTTCTCCTCTGTTTTCTTCTTCTTCTTCTTCTTTTTTCCCCCCTCATTCCTTTATATTCCTCCCCACAAAAATCCCCACCCTTTCCAATTCATAAACCGATTCTTTCTTCCTCCTTTCTTTCTGCACCGATTTCACTCCAGTACTGCCCACTTGGGAACCCAGAAGAACAAAAAAGGGGACAATTCACGGATTCACTGTCAATGGAGCTTCAGCTGGGTCTCGCTCTTCCCACCGCCGGCACCAACAACAATGAAAACAACTTGGTCTTCGGTAATAGTAGTAATAATGGAAATCACGAGGTGATCGTACAATCCTGGCTTCCCGCCGCCGACAACGGAGGCGGCGAAGGAACAGAGTGTTCGGACACCAGCGCCGGGAAACGGCGCCGTTTGTCCGACGGGGACGACCGTCTTCCTCTTCCTCCCGTTGATCTCAAAACCCTCCCCTTGTTGCAATGGGCCGCCGGCGAGGAAAACGACGATAATTGCTCTGTCGTTCTTAACAAGTACTGATTCCCCCTCAATTCCCCCTGTTTTTTCTCTTCCCCTTCTTCTTCAATTTCAATTTCCCCTGTTTTCCCGAATTATTGGTTTTGACGATTAGGGGTTTTTTGAATTTTGGGTCTTTGAAGCAGAATTGAAGCGGAAGAAGAGGGAGATAGCGACGGCGGCGACGGGATTGTGGGGTGGCCGCCGATTAACTTCCGGCGGAACAAGAAACAGAGGAACCAGATGATGGTCGTCAATCGGCCTTCTTCTTGTTCCGGGGAATGCGGAGCGGCGGGGCCCACGCCGTCAATGTACGTGAAGGTGACGATGGACGGAGTCGGGATCGGAAGGAAGGTCGATCTTGCACTCCACGATTCCTTCTCTTCCCTTAGACGGCAACTCTTCGCAATGTTCGGACTACGTAAGCACCCAACAACAAACAAAAAAAAGGACACAAATTTGACTCCGTCAGCGTGACAGCAGTAATAAGAGAGACTATCTGGCTGGCTCACTCTGTTTTTATTTTTGTCCCCTGTTTTGGTTTCTTGTAGCGGAAGAGAATCCCTGGGACGGCGGCGCCGGCGAGTATCAGCTTACGTATCAAGATCCGGAAGGCGACTGGCTATTGGCTGACGACATCTCATGGAGGTATGACAATACACACCCGCTTATTTTTATACCATTTCTTCACTTTCGAGCTTGAAATTTGCCAAATTCGATTTAGAATGTGACGGATGCTATCATACTTATATTATCGTTAGGTTAATTGTTCGAAATGTAACAAAATATTATTAAAAAAAACGGATTTTTCATTTCCTTTTAGTTTCATTCGTTGATACTACAAATTTATAGCACAATTTTCAACCCCCCTCTCACAATATAAGCGATCTCGATTAGTAGATACACTTCTTGACGCTTATCCTGTCAGCGAGTGGCAAAATCGACCGTTCTATGACATAAAATCACATATCCTAGTTTGGTATCTCCTTAAATTTCAAGATGTTGGGTGGCAGAAAAATGATGATAACAGAGTATGGTGGTTGCAGGAGTTTTATTGGGTCAGTGCAGCGGCTGAGGCTGATGAGGAGCAGCAGCAGTGGCAGCAGCTGATTGAATTGAGGATAGATAGGGTCAGGATTTGGTCCAAGTTTTGCTCACAGTACTTTTTTCTGATCTGTAGTGTAGCATAACTAAGCGTGTATAGATATTACAGAGTCTAATTTGTATGTTATTATGAACTTGTGATACTTGATTTTATAATTTCTACATCTATTATAACCAAAGTAGTGGAATGAAAACCATCTAACCCTTTTTCTAGTCCAACTACCCATTGGCTAACAAGAAAAAGTAACAAGTCACAGAAATCCGCCTATGTTAACAAGGTTTTTGAATCTGAATACAAGTTCACGTATTTGAAGATATCTCTCTTGTAAACGTTTTCGTACGTGGAGAATTGAGATCAGCCGGAAGGAAAAAGAGAAAGCAGCATCGAAGTCAGAGCACCTCTTGTTGTTCTACCAAACTGACGAACCTTAATTATGAGAAGCGATTAATGGGTCTCGTGTTTTCACAAAAGCGATTCCATTGATACTTCGAGTTAGGTCATGTATATGATAGTAGAGTTTCCTTCCACTATTTTTTTTTTAACATTAAATCGCTCTAAAAACCAGAATAGTAGCACCTCTTGTTGCTCTACCAACCTCATGAACCTTGATTATGAGAAGCGATTAATGGGTGTCGTGTTTTCACAAAAAGGATTTCGTTGGTACTTTGAGTTAGGTTGTGTATATGATAGTAGAGTTTCCTTCCACTGTATATTTACATTAGATCACTCTTAAAACCATAATAGTACAAATATCTACAAATTTTACAATGGCAAGATAATCTCTCTTGAGCAATTCTCGAGGAAGTTTGTTGTTTGCTGGCAAATCATAATGGTCTTAATGTACGATTTGTAGGTCGGAATAGCAATAGGTGGCCCACTTGGTGGCTAGAAAAATCCTTTCTTTGTACCCAACTACAAGTCGCCCTTTTAATTTTCTTTCCTAGTTATATACCACATTATAATATGTCTTATCTCTTTTTTAATCAATACAAAATTATCTTTTTGTCAAAAAAACAAAACAAAACAAAATCAAACTCCTCTATCATCCAATGCGACAAAAAGAAAACAGATGACGGCTTGTGTTTGCTTCCTCCTTACTTATAGTTCACTCTTCAAGGTTGTTAAACCCCTATCGAACTCCCGGTTGGACCCGGTCCGACCCGAGTCGGGCTTCAAAACGGCCTCCAGAAAGCCCTCCGGTCTGACCCCTAAAGAGGGAGAAGAAGAGAGGGGGAAGAAAGGAAGAGGAATGAAGAAGGAAGGGAAATGATGGGTGGATCATGGAGGTTAGTTAGATTTATTTTGTTGAAAATAAGTTTTTAATAAATATATGTAAGATAAATTTTATTTCACTCATTAAATTTTAATTACTACCTTATTTGTATATATATTTAGAAAACGTCTAAAACGGCTCAAACCGGCCGAATTCCGATCAGACCATTAAACCTCAAACCCCTTGCTTGATCTGCTCAATGACTTAAATCGGTTTGACAACCTTGCTCTTCATATATTGGATCCATGATGAACACTCTGTTTGGGAGAAGGGGGAAGTGGAGGAGGGTGCATATTTTGAGGGGTAATGAAGGATCCCAATGCAAATGCACCTATTTGGATCTTTAGCAATAGTAGCTGGGGGGGTGCATTGGAGGGGTAATTTTACTATTCTCCTTCACCCCCAAAATGGGGTGCAAGGGAAGAAGAAGGAAGGGTGGAAGGTGGGGTAGACGTGGGATGTGTGGAATGAAGAGGAAGGTGGGACCGAGGGAGGGAAAGATTAGAGAGGTGGTGGGATTCTTTTAGTTTTGGTTTTTATTTTTCTATTATAATAATAATTATTATATTAAAATTGTTATTTTACACCTCATTTTGCATCCTCCTACTTTTTCTCCCAAACAACAATTTGCACCCTCCTATAATTTGCTCCCTCCTATAATTTGCACCCATATTTGCACCCTCCTCTAATTTGCACCTCCTCGTTGCCAAACGGAGCGGAAGTGTCAAGTCCATGAGAGTACTGAGGTTTACTTGGTAAGTTGGGCTAAGAAACGGAAACCCAATGAAGGAAAATGAAAAGGAGGAACCACAAATAAGGACCAACCAAAAGAATGACTAGGCTTGAAGCCCATTCACAAGTTATCAAGCCCGAGCTTCTTAGTTTTTCTCGATACACATACTTGTACAATATTCAAATAGTAAACATTCATATTTATTTGAGTTTCAGTTATTCATGGATATTATTATTTTCTTTACCATCTCATCTAATGCGTTATTATTTGTGTATATTCACATTATACAACTGTAAAGGTTACAAATTGTAAATCACAAATCTTAAGAAAAATAATAGAGAGAAGAAGAATTCATTAGGATGTTATATATGTTTTTTCAAACGCTGAATATTTTGAGGCAGAGAATAACTCTTTATAGAAAAATATAAATATGAATTTATAATCGGTGGATTCGGGTTGGATAGTAGGGGGAAAATATATATATATACACCCATTACCCATATTTTCATATTCATATTGTATCATATATCATCGAGTATTTGATACAATCTGAGTTTTACCCTGTTTAATTAATTATACCGGTTTCAGACTAAATATTTTCATACATTCTTTCAAATGAAAACCAATTCACGAATTTGAATTTTACACAGTCTCTCTCATCATATGTTGTGGTTAAATCAAATGTTACCATTGTGGTCATAGAGATATGAATCAAGTTCTAGATAAGCTTACTGATTGACAAACTCTTTGTGGCGGGTTCAACGTGACATAATAAAAGTTACTAATTAATTAAGTGGACTGACTGATGCATTCCTTGGGTTTGGGTAAATGCAATGTTCCCAGCTAGATCTGTGAGAGATAAAAAAAAAAAAGTCACATTTGCTGGAAAAAATCCAAAAGTACCACTGTTTAAAAAAAATTCCAAAAATACCACCCTTTTTCAAAAACCGCCACCCCACCCAGCGGTTTGGTCGAAAACCGCTTGTCGAGGGCGCGGTTTTGGACCAAACCGCGGGCCTAGAGGGCGGTTATAAAAAAAAAAAAAATTGGACCAAACCGCTGGGTGGGGTGGCGGTTTGGCCCAAAACCGCCACCCCACCCAGCGGTTTGGTCCAAAAAAAAATTTTCGACCAACTCCTAACTTCGGTCGAAACTTCAAACAAACGTAACTTTGCTCTCGGGTATCCGATCGTAGCGATTTTTTTTTCATTTCGCATAACTTTTCAAGATCTACAACTTTTACTAGGATGAAATTTTCAAAACAGGAACTATTTGTGGATATACGGGACCTTGAAAATAACTTTACCTTTACTTTTCAGAAATCCATGTACATTTTGAAATTATGATTATATTAAAAGTTGTAGATCTTGAAAAGTTATGCGGAATAAAAAAAAATTCATGACATTCGGATTTTGGAGCACAAAGTTATGGCCGCCCAAAGTTTGACGAAATAAAAAAAAAGGTCGTTCGGGGTGGCAAATGACGTTTTATCGAGACGAAGACGGGACCCGACTGTTTGAGACTTGCAAGATCTCAAAAATTTATTCGGATTCCAAAAATGGAGGCCGCAAACTTTTTGAGATCTTGCAAGCCGCAAACCGCCGGGTCTCGCCTTTCGTCAAACTTTGGGCGGCCATAACTTTGTGCTCCAAACTTCGAATGTTATGAAATTTTTTTGATTGCGCATAACTTTTCAATAAATACAACTTTTAATATAATCATAATTTCAAAATGTACATGGATTTCTGAAAAGTAAAGGTAAAGTTATTCTCAAGGTCCCGTATATCCACAAATAGTTCCTGTTTTGAAAATTTCATCCTAGTAAAAGTTGTAGATCTTGAAAAGTTATGCGAAATGGAAAGAAATCGCTACGATCGGATACCCGAGTGCAAAGTTACGTTCGTTTGAAGTTTCGACCGAAGTTAGGAGTAGGGATGGCAATCAAACCCATGGCCGCGGGTACCCGACCGCCCCATACCCAGTCAACGCGGGGAATCCCCGCTTTGACCGGGTATGGGTAAAACCCGCAAAAGGTTTGATGGGTATGGGGCGGGTATGGTTTTAGCCTCCCCCGCCCCATACCCATACCTATACCCACCCCACCAAGAGAATTTCTTCACATATCAAAAAATACGTGGATTAAATTGTAATCTATCAATGATGATGATGATAACTCGAGAAAATAAATAGTAGAAATGCAATTGAGTAACCACCTTAATCAAAACCTAATTCATTTCCCTCAATTCTCCTTCCACGCTTTCACTTTCCCCCTTGTCAACAAAATTATGTTAGTTAATTATTACTTAGTAAATGTATCAAGAGTTAGTGCATAATAATTTAAAAATATTATAGTCTATAATATTATGTATTAATGGATGTTTTAGGATCATATTCTTTGAATCGTATTTAGAAAATGACCGTGTTTTGTTGACTTCGTGATATAATAGGTTTGTTTATGGTTATAATTAAAACTTTTCTTGTAAGTTTTAAGTATAATAATGTTGGATGTACGGGGATGGGTATTACCCATGGGTACCCGAAACCCACGGGTATGGGGATGGGTTTGCAAAACATTCCCCCGCATGGGTATGGGGCGGGTATGGGTTTGGGTATTTGAAGATGGCAGATGGGGATGGGGATGGTTTAGGCAAACCCGCCCCAAACCCGCCCCATTGCCATCCCTAGTTAGGAGTTGGTCGGAAAAAAAAAAAAATTTGGACCAAACCGCTAGTTGGGGTGGCGGTTTTGGGCCAAATCGCCACCCCACCCAGCGGTTTGGTCCAAATTTTTTTTTTTTAATAACCGCCCCCTATGCCCGCGGTTTGGTCCAAAACCGCGCCCCCGACAAGCGGTTTTCGACCAAACCGCTGGGTGGGGTGGCGGTTTTTGAAAAAGGGTGGTATTTTTGGAATTTTTTGGGGTTGGGTGGTATTTTTGGAATTTTTTTTTAAACAGGGGTACTTTTGGATTTTTTCCACATCTGCTGGCTTGACTAGTATCATTCTACTCCTACCGAAGGCAGCCAAAACAGCCAAGATAATCACGGCTGCTAAAAGCAACTTAATTAATAATCTAATTAACCCACTCAGCTTTGTTTCTGTGGCAACTTTGCGACTAACTAGCGCTTCTAGAGGACCGAGTCAGTTACGTTCATTAAAAATCACATGTCA